CCCTAAATATGCCATCACTGCCAGACAGCAGGAAGTTATTTTAAGAAAATGACACCCATACTCCCAAGAAGTTGGGTAGGTGTTTTTTGGTTGTTCAGTGGGTTATGGATATTTGTCATCATTTAGGGTGGTTGGTTACAAGTTATTAGTAATGGTCAGTAAAAAGCTGGAAAAAAGAGATTAGATTCAGGGTTCTTGTTTTAAAAAGAAAAAAGGGGATATAAATATGATAGGATAAAAGGGTAGATTATTGAATCTACTTTTAAAAAGCAACTACTTGTTTTAAATATTTTACATTGATATGTATCTTTGTATATTGACACAAATTTGAGATATTTTTTAGAACATACTGTACATACATTTCTAATCTTGTTCAAGGTATTGTACCTAAACAGCTCCTTTAACAATGTAATGTAAATTTCTAGTCCTTAAAAGTTATTATTACAAACTATTTAGGATAATAAAGAAATGCAGGTTAGTTGTTAGTCACCTATTACAATCAAACTTGCAGACATGTTAGGTATGTTTTCAAGGTCAAACAGAGATATATCTTAGGTAGACAGGTGGTCTTCAAATACTTCAGAGTTCTACAGAATATGGCATTTAAGATGTTTTAATAACATTAGTTCTTTTTTTAATGACAATGAGACATGTCTGCTCCTGGCAGCACCAATCTACTTTGGAGAAGATGATGGGCATCAAAGAAGCTCTACATGGAATTTACTTTCTTTGTGGCAAAGGTAAGCCACTGGGAAAGAAAGTGCTCTTGCCTTGACTACTGAAAGTATGCTGTCCAAATTGGACAAGCAAGACACAAAAGAAAATGACTGCAGAACCTTGCCAAGACAAAGTAGGACAGTCCTTCAGAAAATCCTGCTTCACAGATGAGTCTGTCAGCTATGCTAGGCTGGTAGGCTGAAGATGGATGCCTCAATGTCACAGAGGAACTTTGGGTGACTGTCCAGGCAGCCAGCTGTTTGGAAGTTGCTTGCTTGCACTTCCTGCTTACTTTGGTAATATTTCTCTCTCAAGTCTGATGGAGTTGAAGACTTTATAGTTGTAGTTATAGTCTTGCTTGTTACCATATTCAAAAAAGAAATTCAATAAAGGGGTGTAAAGTATATAGGATTGAGAGACATTAAAAGATAGTTTTGGTAGTACAAATTAGAATAAAAAGTAAATTAGGTACAACCTTTTGAACTCACCAAAATAGGATAGATAATGGAGTATTTTCTCTGAATTTGTCAAATGTTTATAGACTAGACATTGTTAATGTATTTATGGCCTGTATATATTGCATATAGTTATTGTACTTATTGCATACAGCTTTTCTTATTAGTTATAATCTTCTTTTTGTTTTAGACAAAAAGGGGGAGATGTGGTGATATTTTATTTGGGCTTTAACAAACAAAGTTTGCCTATAGATCAGAGTACAGCACTAGCTACCAGTTAACCATAGAGGCCAGGCAGTGGCACATGCCTTTAATCCCAGCACTAGGGAGGTAGAGATAGTAATATAAGGCAGGAGGAGATAGGAGCTCAACCATATTTGGTCTTCAGTAGAGGTAAAAAGTCTCTCTAGTGGCTGACTCCTTTACTTCTCTGATCTTTCAGCATTTACCCCTATTTCTGACTCTGGGTTTTTATTGTTAAGACCAATTAGAATTTGCACTACAGTTTACCTAATGAAAGAGACAAAGCCAGTCTCTGTACACAAAAATAAAAATTGAAACACTCTAAGACCTTCCCAAAAAATGATAAATTTGATCACTTGAACTTGCCTTCTCCACTGGCTACCAGAATCACATCTGAGCACCCAGAAGAGCCACCAAACCCCTGCTTAATGGAACATTTGAGCTGTACTTTGCACCTACCTGAGATAACATAAGCTACTTCCATGATGATAATAATGTACATATGAGGGGGGGAAGGTGGTGGCCCAAATCAGGGGATCCACCAAGGTCTTCAGACCATACAATATGAGAGAAGGCACTGAGTCTCTGGGACCAGGTCCAGGGGCACATGGCCAGGTCACCCATGAGTGTTGACTGTGCTTTCTCTGGGCCATGAAAAGCCACTCCATGATTTTGCTGAATATGTGGAAGCCTAAGAGAAAGAAGATTCCCAAAAGTGGCAAGTAGCTATAAGAGCCTATTTATTATTCAAAACTCTCAACCACACCATAAACACCAGACACGGCTGCCTCTGGCCAATGATACCTCTATGCACAATCACAGCAAGTGTCTGTTCCATTCAGAAACTTTGGAACTACTGTATGACCCACTAATTCTTTCCTTTCCCTCTGCCATGAAACCATCAGATTTTATGAAACCAGAAACCAATAGAAACAAGACTTCAATCTGATGCCTAGATGTCTATAATTAACTTCTAACAAGCATAAGACAGAAGTATGAAATAACCCTTAGTTGGTAATAGCCACTGAGTTTTTGGGTGCCTATGTTCTGAGATGCAACAAAGCCTACATACATATGTGATGAACACAGTAGGGATGTCATAGTGGTCTTCTAGAAGTCAACAAGAATGGTGGTAGTGGAAGACGGCAAACTTTTCTTGGCTGTGTTTCAGCACCTGACCTCTGGGCAGTTGGAAGGCAGAGGTGACATGTGAACACACAGGTGCCTAAGACATGGATCCTGCCCCTGTTGAACATATCACCAATTAGAAAAACAAGGCATCCCTCTCTTGTGCCACTCTGGGTTGTCAGATTATTACTAGGCACTGTAGTAGGGGAGAATCATACAGCTGCCAGGGCCCAGTGCTGAGTATCAAGAGATATTATTTAGGACTGGAAAGTCTAACTCTGACAGCTTGTGCCCACCTTTGGCCATTTCTCCACAGATGCCTACCAGGGCAGGCACTGAGGAAAATAGGCCAGGCCCTTAGCTTTCCAAACTTACATTCATATAGGAGACAGACAATGAACATTAAGAAAAATACTAATGATATAAGGGAGCTATTTAAGAATGACACAAGACAAATTGACAGAGCTTGAATAAAGTAGGCTTTGGAAAAAGATCCAGGAAAGGCCTCTGAGAGGAGCAGATATTGCAGATGAAAAGTAAACTGTATCTGTCAAGCAAAGAGCTGGGGAGAGACAGCAAAGGCAGGCACCATAATCACAAGGACAAGGGCCTGAGCTGGAGAGGAGGGTGCCTCACTTAGGAACAGAAGAAAAGGCAGAGCTCTGGGCAAGGTGGGCACAGATGGTTGACTTAAAGTTGGTGTGGGGAATTATGTGTCACCTGAGCCTTGTGATTCAGAACAGGGTTTAGAGGGGCTTTTTGTTTTGGTTTGGTTTTTGGTTTTTGAGTATATAAAGGGAAGTGGGGGATAACACAGCAGAGAAATGATGGGATCTGACTAAAGAGTTCCAAAATGCTTTGTGAAGGATGAGCCACAAAGAAGACAGAGCAGTGAGGACACTTCCAAGGCCTGGAATGGAAGCGCCATCACCTGTATGACCTTCAGAGACCTTCAATACTGCATTTCAGCTGCCTGCTGCCTACAACTCAGAGTTCATATGCTCTTTGGGCTCCAGCAGGCTAATGTAAAGGTGTAGAGAGCTTTGCTCAATTAGCACATTTTCCTGCTAAGCATTTCTGGTGCCTCCCCAGAGCTGGTGCCATGGCCAGGACATACCCATGAGGGCCTTCTTCTGCCAGCAGTGAATCCACTGTCAAGGTACTAGATTCTACACTCGAATGACACAGGCTCGTCCCTCCACGTAGATAGAATTGAGAGTACATAGAAGCTGGTCTGGAATAGAAGGCAGTTTATCACCAAGACAAACACACAAGAAATACAGGCTAAGACAAAGGCTCTTCCATCCACCAGGAGATTTGACAATAGGGGAGAAGGTGCAGGCAAAGGTAATAACTGTGGCAGGGAAGTTGGTTCTGACCAGAGAAACCCCAAGCTCTCCTAACCTGAGCTAAGTGGTGCTTAGGGAAGGAAGGCTCGGGGAGCAAGACCAAGTTGCAGAGACTTGATGGTCTGGGCCAGACTGATGGATTATAAGAGTTCACATAAGCAGAGAGCAGACCCTCCTAGACTATCCAGGCCTCAGTTAACCTGCTAGCTGGCCAGAGGACCATTAGTGAGCTCAGTCAAGATCATGTAACCTAAGCTAGAACTGCCCAGCCAATTCAGACACACGTGAAGAAATAATAAAGGTCTACTTGCTTTAAGGTACAGTGCCTTGAAGTGTTTGTTATGCAGTGATAGCTAACTGATGCTGAGGGAACTCAAAGCCAGTAGCAAGTCTTTAGCAAGTCTCTGATGACGCCATAGCCCTATTTGTTACCCTACTTGAAGCAATTGCATATTCGGATCACTAGACTGAGGCTATAGCCCTTGTGATTCATTCTTGGAGTTAACTTTACACATCATCTAGTATCTTTTGAAAACTCCCTCCTGTCTTTGAGCCTTGGTTCCTTATCTGTAATAAAGGAATTGAAGGATTTCTAAACAGCCTCCTAGTCTGATACATTTGAGTGACTCTGAACTCTTCATTCATCCATCTGTCATCTAACCAAAAAGGATTTTTTTTTTTCAGAGCCAACAGTCTGCAGTGATGTGGCTATGGCTAAGAACAGAGTTGCAGAATCAAGCACACAAGATGTTGGACCTGATCCCCAGTAGCCTGGGACCAGTAGCCTGAGACTCACTGTCTTATGAGTACAAGGACAGAACCTTGTCAGTGACTTGACAATCAAAGAGGCTAAGTGGTGACAGCAGTGAGTGAGACTCAAATTCACAACTGTCCAGAAGACAGAGGGGATGCATGACTAGTATCCCAGTGACTCTGGACTCTAGGACTCTTGTCAAAAGTATTGGGGGCAGAATCGAGGCAGCATGGACGCCCAAGTCCTCCACACCCCTGATTACAGCCATCCTCCAAGACCTCCAAGACTTCTTCCATTTGAGAAAGAGTTGGACATGTCAACATCATCTGCCATGGGGCCGAGAAAGTATACTACCATGAAACCAGGGAGCAATGGACTTGGTGTTCCTCTCGAAGCCTGCTCGGCGAGGCAGCTGTTCCTCCTTGAACCAGCGCACAATGACTTCTCTGGAGAGTGGACGTAGAGGACGCTCCCAGGTTCTGCTGGGAAGAAAGAGAGTAAAGTGGAGGTTGAGGGGAATAAATCAGAGAGGAGGAAGAGAAGAAAGAAAAGGATACGGAGGAAAAAAGGAGGAAGTTGAGTGGGAAGAGATGGCTCAGCAAGTATAGGCACTTGCTGCCAAGTCAGACCATGTGAGTTTGAACCCAGGGACCCACATGCAGAGAACTGACTCTCACAGATTGTTCTCTGACCTCCATATGCATGGTCTAGCATGTATATGTGTACATATACACACACTAAATAAATGAATAAGTAAAGTTTTAAAAGCATAGAAGGGGGAGATACTTCTGACTCTGCTTCCAGATTCAGAAAACACATAAGAAATTTATCTTATAAAAATCGAGCATTTAAAAAATTCAAGCATTTCTGCATGCAAGAAAATTCTACCTCCAAAAATAAAAAAAAAATAATTGACAAATTGAGAAAAAGGATGTGTCACAATTTTTCCCTAACTTAGGGAGTTCCTAGAGATGGATCAAGAGAACATAGATCACACAGTAAAAGGGTGACTGGACAAGAGAAGAGAAGGAAATACTGTGGCCCTTCAACATATATGAAATGTTTAGTCTGGCCCATAGACATATGTGAGTATTTCAATTTACTCCAAGACATATTTTCTTACACAAAACAAGATTGGCAACATCATGGGCCAGGCTAAAGGATGTGAAGATACAAACATTGATAGCAGCCCTGTGCAGGGCCAGCAAATTTCCAAAACACACAGCCCTTGAATAAAGACCCTACTTGGGAGAATATCTTTGTAGATCATGGTTGCCCAATATAAAATTAATTTCCACGAGTTTATACACACAGGACCTGGTTGATGATTGCAAAAGATGTGAAGTAGCAATGCCCACTGAGAGAGTCCCTGATAACTAATAGCAAATCTATACCGCAGAACACAGACAGCCTTTAAAGAAAAGAGGAGAAATAAGGTTGGTTTGGGTTTTTGTTTGTTTTGTTTTGTTTTGTTTTTTAATGTTGGCAAGTGTACAAAGAAGTCCAGGGGTTGGGATGGTGTATTGTAGAATATTATTTTAAGATGTGTTATATTTGTTTATGCTGTGGAACATTTGTTGAATGATGCAAAGATGTGTTTCATTCTTTTATGTTGCATTTGTATAACTCTGTGAAGCTGTGTTACTGTTCCTGTCTAAAACACCTGATGGTCTAATAAAGAACTAAACAGCCAATAGCGAAGCAGGAGAAAGGATAGGTAGGGCTGTCAAGCAGATAGAATAAATAGAAAGAGAAATCTGCATGGAAAATAAGAAAGAGCAAGAGAACAAGGAGAGGAGGAGGAAAGGATCCAGCCACCCAGCTACCCAACCAGCAACAGAGAAAGAAAGAAAGAAAGAAAGAAAGAAAGAAAGAAAGAAAGAAAGAAAGAAAGAAAGAAAGAAATAGGAAAAGGTAAAAGCCCAGAGGCAAAAAGTAGAAGAGATAATTTAAAGTTAAGAAAAGCTGGCAAGAAACAAGCCAAGCTAAGGCCAGGCATTTTTAATTAAGAATAAGCCTCCATGTGTGTTTTATTTGGGAGTTAGGTGGGGGGCCCTCCAAAGAGCAAAAGCAAACAACAACAATGGGTAAGTTAAGAAGCTAAGAACAGGCCAGGGGTTGGTGGCACATGCCTTTAATCCCAGCACTTGGGAGGCAGAGCCAGGCGGATCTCTGAGAGTTCGAGGCCACCCTAGTCTACAGAGTGAGATCCAGGACAGACACCAAAACTACACAGAGAAACTCTGTCTCCAAAAACCAAAAAAAAAAAAAAAAAAAAAGAGAAGGAGAAGCAGCAGCAGCTAAGAACAGTATCTATGGAGGTGCTGTGAGCAGTACACAGGGAAGGAATCAAAGTTCTCTATACACACTATACCTTCTCATACCTTCTAGTTTGGGAACCACACACAATGAGGAAGGAAGGAAAGGGGAAAGTGAGAGGGGAGATGTGAAGGCCGAATCAGCTCTTGCTAGACTCCAGGGAAGAGGAGTCGGGGGTTATGAACAACCCCAAACTCCAATCAGAACAAAATTAAACAAACCACACTATCTGGGGATAAACTGATCCCTGAACATTCCCTGGAGATAAGGGAGCCACAGGAGCTTAATCTCACAGCTCCCATCCCCAGGGAAAAGGTGGTGCTGTAAGCATGGCTGAAGAAAGCCTGAAATAAGAGGCCAAATCCCAGGGCCAGCCCAGTCAGACAGCCTGAACGTGGAGAACCGAGTAACTTTGTGTCTTTGGCTTTGCCAGTCATACTTTGTCACTGAAGTGTCCTTGGCAAACAACCCTTCTAAGGACACAAATGTGTGCAAGGACTTCTCAATCTGCCCACACTAGTCTGCAAACCTGCTGTTCAAACTAGGTGCAAACCAGCTCCACCCACAGTTAGTTGCAGCCCTGGTTCCCAGCTACTGGAATATTTATCCCATCTAAGGGCTTTTATTGCAAGGTTTTGGCCAAGGCCAAGGAGTCTAAAACTATGGAAACATTTGATGCATTTGCATACGCAGATTTTGAGGATTAAACCTCTGAAAGGTTTAACCCCCAGAACTCCAAAGTTGTTAGAAAGGTCCAGAGCCCTATTTCTGCATTCTGTCTATTACATAGATTGGAATGCTAAAGCCTAAGGAGGGCAAATGACCAACAATTAAGAGACAGAGCCTGGGGAGAACCCATGGAGCTTGTCTCCTGTGTCCACAGCCCATCCTCACATACCTGTCAGGTCCTGTGAGGGATGATGGTGGACTTGTGCATGGAAGTTGATGGTAGAGCCTTGCCTCCTGCTCATGGTTCTGGCCAAGTTCTTGGAACATGGTGCTTAGGCCAGCAACAGTGCCCTTCTGGATGGCACGGAGTGAGTGGCGCCGGTACTCATCCCGAGCTCGCTGGGCACGACGGCTCCTCTCTTCATCAGCTGCCTTGATTCTGCGCACTGAAAAAAAAGAACAGTATGGCTGGCCTTGACCCACAGCTCAAGCTGAACACTGGGAAAACGGAGACAGCACTGTACACAACTTACTTGGAATTCCATCATTTCTTAGGGCTGACTACCCAGAATACCAGAGACTACAGGAGGCTTGGCTCATCTAGGAATCACAAGGCATGCCCAGCCCCAAGATGGTAGGTTTATAGGAATCTTTTCATAATTGACATTTCATGGGCTAAAAACACTATCCTCTCTCCACCTTTCTGCTTTCCATGTCCCTCGATGGGGCTCTGACACAGCCAAGTAGCCTTGAGAAAATCACTGTGCATGTGTGTGTGTGTGTGTGTGTGTGTGTGTGTGTGTGTGTGTGTGTGTCCATGTTTGACTTTGTGTGTTTCTGTGTATCTTTTTATGTGTGTGTATGTGCATGTCCATGAGTGTGTGTGTATCTGTGTATGTGTGTGTGCATGTCTCTGTATGTTTGTGCATGTATGTGTATCTATATTTGTGTGTATGTGCATATCCATGTGTGGGTGTGGGTGTGGGTGGGTTTGCAGAGCTCCTAAAACTCCTAAGTTTGGGGGTTAAGAAAATAAAGACTGGCTCTCTGCTGCTCTCTGTTCCAGAGACAGCTGCATCTTCTCATGCAATGCCAGTCTTGTTCCTGAGACAGGCTGGTGAAGATCAGAGTGAACAGATTTGACTTTATTGGGCTCATGATTACCAGGGCTGCCTTCACATCTGGCAAAGTGAACACTGTTGCCATCAATGACACCTTCACTGACCTCAACTACATGGTCTACATGTTCCAGTATAACTCTACCCATGGCAAGTTCAACAGCACAGCCAAGGCTGAGAACAGACAGCTTGTCGTCAGCGGGAAGGCCGTCACCTTCTTCCAAGAGTAAGATCCCACCAACATCAAATGTCATGATGCTGGTGCTGAGTATGTTATGGAGTGTATTGGTGTCTTCACCACCATGGAGAAGGCTAGGGCCCACTTGAAGGATGGAGCCAAAAGAGTCATCATCTCTACCCCTTCTGCTGATGCCCCTATGTTTGTGATAGGTGTGAACCATGAGAAGTATGATAATTTACTCAAGATTTTCAGCAATGTTTCCTGCACCACCAACTGCTTAGGCCCCCTATCCAAGATCATCCATGACAACTTTGTCATTGTGGAGAAACTCATGACCACAGTCCATGCCATCACTGCCTCCCAGAAAACTGTGGATGGCCCCTCTGGGAAGCTGTGTTGTGATGGCCATGGGGCTGCCCAGAACACCATCCCTACCAAGGCTGCCAAGGCTGTGGCAAGATCATCCTAGAGCTGAATGGGAAGCTCACTGGGATGGCCTTCCATGTTCCTATACACAACATGTAGGTTTTGGATCTGACATGCCTCCTAGAGAAAGCTGCCAAGTATGATGACATCAAGAAGGTAGCAAAGCAGGCCTCTGAGGGCTCACTAAAGGGCATCCTGGGCTACTCTGAGGACCAGGTTGTCTCTGCAACTTCAACAGTGAAGGCCACTCTTCCACCTTTGATGCTGGGGCTAGCACTGCTCTCAATGACAACATGTAAAGCTCATTTCCTGGTATGGAAATGAATACAGCTACAGCAGCAGAGTGATGGACTTCATGGCCTACATGGCCTCCAAGGAGTACCAAGCCCTGGAAGTACCACCCAGCCCAGCAAGTACACGAGAGCAAGAAAGAGGCCCTTGGCTGCTGAGCAGTCCCTGTTCCAACTCAGCCCCTAACACTGAGAATCTCCCTCACAGTTTCCACCCCAGACCCCCAGAATAACAGGAGAGGCTTGGGAGCCCTACTATCTTGAATACCATCAATAAAGATTACTGTACCCACATTTTAAAAAAAGAAAAGAAAATGAAGAGCAAATAAAGTCTACTGGAGTCAATGGCTTCTGCCAGAACTGGTCATCCTAGAGTCTGACTGCTTCTCGCCAGACCTCTACCTGCCTCTAAAACCCAAGAGTTTTCAACAGAGGGCTCTGGAAGCTGGCCCTAAACTCCAAATTGTAAAATATTAGTGATTGCAATGGCCCTGGCAGACCACCTCCCTCTCCAAGTAGGAAAATCTTACTCCATCCATTCAACATGCTTCGCTGACATCTACAGCTTTCTAGAAACTGCACTTTGCCAGTATTTGGAGAAAACAGGTCAGTTGTTCTAGTCCTCAAAGAGTGTTTTGCCTTCACAGGTGATCAGGAGCCTTTTTGGAGAGCATGGCATCTTTCAGATCCCAGCATGCAGTCTATGCCTACAGAGGTATTTGCAGAGTGATGCCATGCACAGATCTCCTACATTTTGAGCTCCACGGGGCAGGTTCTTTGGCCTGTTCGTTGCTGAACTCCTATGTCTAGAACAAGGTTGGCAGACAAGATATCGTTCTAGATGATAAGGGATTCCAGTATGCTGGGAAGATGGCGCATGGGTAACGCACTTGCCATACAAGCATGAATGATGTGAATTCCATCCTCAGCACCCTATAAAAAGTTGGTATGATATGGTAGCATATGCCAGAAACCCAGCTCTGGGGATACAGAGACAGAAGGATCCTGAAGCTTGATGGCCAGCCAGACTAGCTGAATCTGTGAGCTCCAGGTTCAAGGAGAGGCCCTGTTTTAAAAAGAAATGTGAAAAGTGATAGAGGAAGACATTCAAAGTCAACCTCTGGTCCAAGTGTGTGTGTGTGTGCGCGCACGCGCACACGCGCGCGTGCGCGCACACACACACACACAGACACGGTCATGTATGTTCACACATACACATACAAAAACTTTAATGATTTTAAAAAGCATTTCATGATTTGGCTGGATTTGACTCTGGGCTAGATAGAGAGAAGACATAGAAGCAGGCCCTCCTTTCAGTCACTCTAACCAAGCTGGAGAAAGGACAGGTAACTATCACCAACATTTATGAAAAATGTCAAGAGTGTCCTTAGAAGAGGAGGAGGAGGAGGACGAGGAGGATGAGGAAGAAGAAGGAGGAGGAGGAGGAGGAGAAATAAATTACTGTGAGAGTTCAGGGTCCACAGTATTCATAATGTACAGGGACCAGAGCTGTCAAAAGAAAATCAGCTGTAGAGGAGGTGGTCTGTTCCCAGCAAAACTCAAGTTGAGATGTGGGGCCTTAAAGAGAGACTGGTGTCCCCTTTGTAAGGCTGGATCAATTTTCTCAGGGATGGATGAGTTCTTGGGAAACAAATGGATAAAACAGATCATCCCCTCTGTCCTCTCTCTGCCCCCTCTTGCTTTCAGGCAGAGAATAAATCTGTTTTCCTTGTGAATTACCGAGTCTTGTGAATTACAGTGAAAGAAAATGAACAAGACGGTATGGAAAGATCAAGTACTTTCTAGAGAAATTGGAAGAGGAGCTCATTCCAAGAAACAACTGTGAGACTCAGGGACGCAGAGACTCCTCTGTAGAGCTCAGGGAGCAAGAACTCTGTGAAGCCTGCTTACACTGTGGGCAGAGGGTCAGTCAGGGTCGGGAAGCCCAGGGCCGACTTCAGGGTCATTAATACACAGACAAGACACTTCATAGAGTTTACAGTCCCTAAGAGACAGGCACTACAGAAAGACAGACAGACAGACAAAGGTTTGGCTCCTGAACCCCTGTCTGGTATGGAACAATATTATTCTTTAGTTCCCTTTCCCTGAACAATAAACAGTGCTGCCCTTAGTCTGAGGACTGCCACACTGCCAGGCTATTCCAGAGTCACCTCCCCAATGACACTCAGGGTTCCCACTCTGTTCCCTAACACTGAGAGAACACAGAAGTGTCTCTATCCCCTTTGTGTAAGTGGTCACACAGCTCCGGTGTGCTAAGAGGCAAGTGTTGAAGGGGTTTCACCACTTCAAATAACATGTTGGCCACATTCGGTGATACACTCCCATACATCTAGGACCCAGGAGGCTGAGCCCAGAGGATTGCAAGCTTCAGGACAACCTGTCCATATAATGAAACCTTGTTTCCAAACCATGAATGAATGAATGAATGAATGAATGAATGGCATAGTCACACAAGTATATTTAGCTATCTACTTGTGTCAGCTCTCAGTGTTGCACAGGGCTATCAGTCAATACTATATGCCAGCCACATACCGTACAACTCCAGGAGACACAGTTGTAGTGCTGGCCTTCAGAGAGCTTACAGTCTAGTGGGGGAAATGCAGCACTAAACAGTAGAGCTGTGGTGGGGAGTGCATTGGCCCCCAGGGCCCCCAGAGGAGGGACATCACATCCATGCATGAATGGTCTTTGGAAACAGGAAGAGGTCTAAGCTGATGCCTGGTGGATTCAAATAACAGTGGCCAATAAAGGACATTTGTTCTTCTTTCTTTTTTTTTTCTGGTTTTTTGAGACAAGATTTCTCTGTGTAGCTTTAGAGCCTGTCTTAGAACTCACTCTGTAAACTAGGCTGGTCTCAAACTCACAGAGATCTGCCTGCCTCTGTGTCCGGATTGCTGGGATTAAAGACGTGAGCCACCATCGCCCAGCTAGCAGGGCATTCTTAATAGAGTCTCTCCTGGAACACTGCAGCATCACTGCAAGGCAGAAGTACCAGAAAAAAACACTTAGAAGACCACTCTATTAATGTCCTGAAAGATAACTGGAAGCCACTAGAGGGCAGAGTTCTGCCTACACTCAAAGGAGATTGCTTGAGCTATAGAGCACTGGGAGTGAATTCACAAGAGTAAAGATGCAGAAAACAGAAAGGCACTGAGCAAGGAGAATGACTTAAGTGACAGCATATAAATTCAGAGAAATGAAAAGGCAGGATCTGTACAATTATGTTGGAGTAGTAGTAGTAATAGTACTTTATTTATGGGGTGGGGTGCAGGGGAGTGGAGTGTGTGTAGAAGTCACAGGACTTGTGGGAATAAGTTCACTCTTTTCACCTTGTGGATCCCAGGACTTGAACTCAGGTCATCAGCTTTGACAGCAATTGCTTGTACCCGCTGAGCCAATCACAAGCTCCT